AGGCATCTGTCAACTTTGTAAGTCCATTGGGATGGCATATCCAAACTGTGCTATAAATCTCCATCCATGCCATATAGAAGGGATGTCATGTAACAATAAGTCATGAGGACTTTGTAGACAACACAATTTACCATATCTCATCTAGTCTCAGAGCTGTTCCCATATAGAGGGATCAGCATGCATGTCACCTATCTGCAGGGTTTCTTTGTTTTGTTTTTGGCTTCATCCTTACTTATGCAGCAAAGATATTCAGGAGGCCTCCTCCAGTCAAATCTGATTTTTATTAATTTTGAAGAAATGCATAGCTTTTCACTTTCATGGAAACAAAGGCATAACCTCTCTCCCAATGCAACACATTTCCTGACTTTCTTTCTGTAGTTAAGACATCCTTAAATATATAGGATGATTTAATTTAGCAGTTTTTTATAATCCAATGTCTCAGAGTTTTTTGTTCATTAGCATTTAAAAAATAAAGCATTATACAGGGTTCAACTTCCTGTGTTATAATATTTCCCATCCTTATGTGGCTTATTCTTTTTATATCCCCCCCCCCCCGGCTTTTTCAAGACAGGGTTTCTTTGTGTAGCTTTGGAGCCTGTCCTGGAGCTCACTCTGCAGACCAGGCTGGCCTCAAACTAACAGAGATCTGCTTGATTGTGCCTCCTGGGTGCTGGAATTAAAGACATGTGCCACCACAGCCTGGCTAATTTACTCTCTTTCTAAAGATTTCACTTTGTTATTTTTAAAATATTCATTTTGTTTTCTATGACTGTGTATACCCATTTTCCTTCCCTTCTTCTGCACCTAAGCACATTTTCAAGCTTAGGCTTGTTCTCGAATAGTTTTTTTTAATAGAGTTATACATTTTTCCCCACTCCCCTTCCCTCCTCTGCTCTCCCTCAACTAGTTCCTAAAACTTAAATTTACGTATTTATATTAATCTACATTTTGCCATATGGTTTATTGTTTCTGCTCAGTACTGCGTGTCCCACTTCCTCTATGTCAGATTGGCTAATCCTGGTTGCTCAGATTCTTCTCCCAAGTTTCTCTCTCTTCCCAGAAGCCCTACCTATCCTGTCCTGTCCAGCTATTGGTCATTTAGCTCTTTATTAATGTGCCTTTGGCAGGTGAGGAAGGACAGACATATCTTTACATAAAGGGATCAAATATTCCACAAGGGGTGCTGGACAACCAACTTGGGTCCTTTGCAAGAACAGTGAGTACTCTTAACCTCTGAGCCATTTCTCTAACCCTCTGTTTAAGTGAATTCTAATGAAAATATTTTATTTAAAAAGGACTTGAGGCACTTGAGAGGCTAAGGTGGGAGGATTGAAGTTCAGGGCTAGCCTGTCTCAAAATGAAAATAAATAAAGATGAAAAGGCTTGAGAAACACTGGTATTTGTGACTACCTGGCCTAACGATCTCATCATGAGCCTGGGAATGTTTGCCCTCCCTGCAGGTTCTCTCGTCTACATGGAAAGATATAAGGAGTAAAGGGACACTCACTCTACAAAATATTCATCCCAGCAGCCTGATGTGGGCTCCCTTTTTTTTCTTAAAGATTTCTCTGTCTGTCTGTCTGTCTGTCTGTCTGTCTGTCTCTCTCTCTCTCTCTCTCTCTCTGTGTGTGTGTGTGTGTGTGTGTGTGTATACCACGTATATTTGGGTGTCTATAGAGATGAAGAAAGTAAGGGTGCAACATTTAGACATGGTGTCAATATGGACATCTGGAGTAAGTTTTTTTTTCTTTTTATTTGAATCAGGGTCTCATATATTCTAGGCTGGCTTCAAATTCTCTATGTAGTCAAGGATAACCTTAAACTTCTGATCCTTCAGCCTCCATATTCAAGTGCTGGAATTACAAACATGTGCCACAGAGTTTATGCAGTGCTGGGAAACTAAAGCTTTATACATGCTAAACAAGCATTTTTCAAACTGAGCTATACACCCTCAGCCCCTTTATATCTATCTATCTATCTATCTATCTATCTATCTATCTATCTATCTATCTCCACTCAGCCTCTATCTGTCTGTTCGTCTGTCCATCTGTACTAGGGATTCGATCCTTTGTGTGGAACTCAGGGCTCTTTCACAGGTCACCTGTGAGCCTTGGAGACAAGAGTCTTTACTTGGTGAGCTAGCTCACCAGTCTCTCCAACCTTTGCTTCTTGAAACACAGCTCACTAGGTAACTCAGGCTAACCTGAAACTAATGATTCTCCTTCTCAAGAGTTGTGGCTATAGGTGTGTACTATCACACTCAGTTAGATGATGCTTTTGTAAACATACTTTGTGTACGGAACTTTTTATTTCTTTGGAATGATTTATTCAGCGATCATTATACTTTAGAAACGTTTGTTTTTAGGTGTGTACCTTCACACCTGGCAAATTTTTATTTTGTTTGTATTGGTGTTTTGTCTGCACGGTCGTCTTTGTGCCACGTGCTTGTAGTACCTGCAGAGGCCAGAAGAGGGCAACAGACCTTCTGGAACCGGTGTTACAGCTGGTTGTGAGCCATCAAGAGGATGCTGAGAATCAAACCTGGGTGCTCTTAACTGCAGAGCCATCTCTCCAGCTTAACAACTGTTCTTGGTAGTATGATTAATAAACTTGTGCCTGACATTCAACATTCTTTCCTTCCTTCTATGAGCTGAGATCCAAAGGAGCAACTGCTTTTGGTAAACAATGGAAAGAGGCAGGCATGTCACATAATTGCAACGAGGTCCTCTTCATACAGGGAGAGATTCTCTGTACAAGACTGATAAGGTCTGTATTATTATTATCATCACTGTTATAATTTATTCACATTACAGTGTTACATTTATTATTTCAATGAACACATGGCCAGATTACGGGCAATTACCTTAGGTAGGTGAAAGGTCATAAAAGGGAGGCAGAGACTTCCAAACAGGAGTGTCAGACACTCCAAATACAAACACTGCTCTATCTATAAACCTTTCTATCTATAAACCACCAAATGCCTCTTTCTGTTTCTATTTAGTTGAGAATATGAGACACAAGGGTTACCCAGGGGCAGCAACCCACATGACAGGAAATTAGTTCTAAGCATCATAGTATCAGGTGGTGGCATCCTTTAAAGGCATTGGTGCTTATCTTTTCCAAGGTAGTCAATATGGTAAGCTTCCAAGTCTTCAAACACACACACACACACACACACACACACACACACACACACACACACACCCTTACCTGCAGTACCAGAAGCTATAACTTACTCTCTCTGCACACGCATGCTTTTTTTTTTTTCCCATACAGCTTCACAGAAACGAAGCCTCCTCTCCATAAGAGCATCTGCTTGGCAGGAAGAATAAGCACATGCAGGCAGGAGAGAGAAGGGTAGGTTCATTCCACGCATGGTTCATTCTGCTTAAGGCCTTCCCTGGAGGAGAGGATTTAGTCACAATTTAGTTCAGTTCCTTATTCTCCTCCCATTCCCCTGCTCCTTCCTAATTATATGACTCTAGGCTAGTCCTTTAAACAGCTCTTAGCTCTTTCCCCGTTGAATGGAATCTTGTCACGTGACTTCTTAGTCATCTCGATGATCACAGGAGAAATAGCACAGGAAGGCAGTCTTTGAAGTTCTGAGCAGGTGTTAGGTAAGTGTCCTACTGCGCACGTCATCATCCCCCGAGTTTCATCTTCAGGTTGGCTGCATGACTCAGGTCTCAGCTGCATGGTCACATCCTTTAAGTCCCCCTTCTCATCACTCTCTCTCTCTTTCCTCCAGTGTACTTCAGTCAAGACACCTCACAAGTGAAATCATTTCTTTGCTTACCTGAATATATAAAGGCTCCATTGTGGAGTCCAGAGGTAGAGTGTCTTTCTCAATTGCTGGCTGCCATACTGTTTGAAATAAAGTCTTTCATTGAACCTGGACCTGAACTGGAGCTAAGCCCAGATGTACTTATTTTCTGTTTCTAGCTCTGTGTCACAGGTTGACAGCAGTATTTATTTATTTATGTATTTGGTGGGTTCTAGGTGATCAACCTGTGTTTACATGGCATTTCATAAATCAATCTCTCTCCATCCCAAAAGCTTTTGGAGGGCAGAGCTCAGTCTTGTATTCCCAGGGACAATTCATGGACATTAGAGTCCTGTTCTGTGTCCCTCTCCCTTTGGTCCTCACATGGCAACCCTGGCTAGCATGGAACCACTATAAAGACCAGAATGGCCTTGAATGCATAGAAATGGGCTTGCCTTTGCCTTCCAAGTGATGGAATTAAAGGTGTGCGCCACTCTGCCTGTTGGACAATACAGGATTGATGAGTCAGATAACAGAGGCTAAAAGCAAAGACTTGTGTCAAGGACAATTTAGACATCAAAGTAGAGATGTCTACACACTGAGGGTCTTGTGCATGTTAAGCAAATATTGTACACTGAGCTATGGCTCCAGCCTTACAAGGCCAGCTTCTCAATTAGCTAGCTAGGTGACAATGGACAAGTCCTTTCCGGTAAGTTTAATACTTCACAGTATACAAGTGAATAACAAATTGAAGTGAAAACAATTGAAGGTTGTTTTCTACTCTTCAACGAGAAAACTGTTAGAACACTAATAATGTACGTGACCTATGCTATGCTCTGCTGACCCCAGGGCACAGCACCGTGGGGTTCGCACGCTGGGGCTAAGTGGAGATCGGTTCCTTGTTCCGACAGGGCTCTCAGCCACCCACAGGTGTCACTGCTCCGGGCTCTCCCAGCCGGGGACACACGAATCTTTCCTGGACAGTTCTCTTTGAAAGGAAGTCGGGACTTAGAGAGACCCCACGCCGCATCTGTGTGGATAAGGGACACTCCCTGGAGCCCCGGACCCGGGAGCCTGAGGCTTCCTTGAAATCGCGGAAGGAAGGTGGGGGTGCCTCGTGGTTTGGGCAACAGAGGGGAGGGGAGGGGTGGGGCGGTGAGTGGGCGGGGATGGGCGGAGCTAGACGGTGGGCGTGATGGCAGGCGTGGCGATGGGCATGGACAGCTCGCACGGGGCTCGAGGCTCCACAGTCCCGACGTCGTGCTGTCCTGGCCGGCCTGCTTCAGCGTGCGGAGGGCTCCCTCTAGGTAAGCACCCGGGACTCTGGGCGGGGAGGACCCGACGGGGTGCGCGCACAAGGAGGTGGCTTCCACTTGCTGCAGGGTGATCTTAGTGGGACTAGTTAGGGTCTTCTACCTTTTGCGTGGAGGTGAGAGTGGCCTCTCCGCGTTAGGTGACAGACCCGTCCTCTTTGGGCCAGGAAGAAGGAACAGGTGCTCTCCCCTGATGGCCGCGCCTTCCCTGTGGCTGCAGCCTCTCTCCAGGCTCCACATCTGAACCCTTTACTCGCGGTTGAGTTCCCTTCGCAGTGGAGCGGCAGGCGGCTTTTCTCCCCTCTGCTTGTCCCGCGTGAAAGTTAAAATGAATAGTTGTCTGTGCCTGAGCGCCTCACCTCATCAGGTGCACTCATTTATCTATCTATCTATCTATCTATCTATCTATCTATCTATCTATCTATCTATCTATCTAAAAACGGGCTTGGAGAACCTATGTGGAAAACAAAACAAAACAAAACAAAACAAAAAACTATGTGGACCTGTTGTCCCAGGATAGTGCAATCTTCTCTGGATCTTAATAAAAATTTAAACTTTTTCCTGTCATTGATGAATAACAGGTATGTTTCGGTGTATCAGGTCCTATCTCGGGCCAATTTTTGGAAACTGGAATATTTGATTAGAAGAGCTGATCCCCGTGTTAAATTGGAACAACAGGGTGGCTGGTGGTTAAGTGGGTTTGGAGACTAACCAGGATAGTTGTATGCTTTAAGTATATGTCTTACATTTTTTCCAGTGAGTCCCCGTTTTCCTCTTAGGAAACTCTGACAATCTATTCCCTTTCCAGATAATTCTCTTTTACAGAGCTAGGGGGTGTTAGGAGGAAGCTTCAGCTTATCAGCAAGTCTCCTAAGGAAATTGTGGCGTTTAATAGATTAGTTAATGACACTGGTAGCTTTATGGTCTGCAAGACGAAAATGTAATATGGAATAGCTTGGTTTCTATGTGGGGGTAGGGGAGAGAAACGTGGCTAAACTTATACAGTAAGTGTTTGAAAGCATTCTTTTTGTTCAGTTATGTCTTCATTGTTTAAGAAAGGCTCATCCTTTCACCATATTCTTACTAACCTGATCACTATTCCTGTCCTTGACTCCTCAGAGTGCTTTCTGTAGTGTGTTTATGGTAATGAACCTCATTCTTCCCACTAGGGCGTGTGCATTCTGGTTTGTGGAACTCTGTGGGACAAGTATTGTCAACACATGCAAATCAATGCTACGCTCTAGTTGGCAATACCTTTGCCCTACGTGGACCTTTGGCTTAGAATTTTCCTCTCTTCCCAAACAGGAAGGAATCTAAAGTATGAATGTATGTTTTAGCATTGCCAAAACTGTCTGCTTACCTTATTCTGCATTAAGGTATTCTTGTTTTCGAAGCAGTGCAGGGACTGTGTTTTATCAAGCCTGTAATTAATGATGGATAGATGGTACCTTACCTCCCTGCAGTTGATCCGTAAAGAATGGAGAAACTGGACAATCACTGGTCCATTTGTATTCTTGAAGTCGAATGACTGGCCTCCTTGTCTTCCTCCGGGCACCCAGTGTGCCGTGAACTTGGTCCTTGGACCTCTAACCACACCCCTGCCTACAGGTTCTCCAGGCAGGGTACTCAGCCTGGTGCTGGCTCGCCTGTGGATGCTCCGGGAAGTGTCTGTTGATGACACTGTCCCTGTTCAGAGCCCCTTATGATGCTTTCTCTCGTCTTGTTCAGTGAATAGCAGGTGAGGCAGAGTTGAATACATACGAACAGTTTGGGGAGGCAGCTATTTTGGTTTAATTAGGATCCTAAGTGAGGCATCCAGGTCCGTAAGAAAGGAATGAAATTGAGTTGTGATCATTGACAGTGGGGAGATTCTCCTGCTCCATGTGATTATACTATTAGAAGAAAGATGTTGGAAAAACAACCACAAGAAACCTAGAGGAGAGGATCTAGAGGTTATTTTTCCATCCATTCTTGCCTCCACCTAGGCACCTCTTTTTATTCCCATCCGGGCTAGCCAGTCCTTCCTTGGGTTGGATTATAACTATTAATTTCCTCTGTATGTTTCACTGCTCAGGGCTCAGATGACCAAAGCTACCGTGAAACAGAGGTTGAAAATTGCATTTTTTTAGAGGAACAAATAGGAAGGAATTAAAAACAAAACAAAACCCCACAAATAGGCTGCTACTGGGGAAATGAACGAATGTAAATATAAGGAGCAAACAAATGTGAGTGTAAATATGTGTAGGCACAGAATTTGGGCTTGGAGATGGCTAGATCAATATGTCACAATATTAATGGTAGGCCAATATTCACAGCTAAGCCAAGCACAATTTTTTTTGTGTTCCTTGGAATTCATAATCATTTGACTTTTGTGTGTGTGTGTGTCTGTCTGTCTGTCTATCTGTGTACTTCTTTTTAATTCACTTTACAGATCTTGACTAGTTTTCCAAGTCTTCCCTTAAAGGAATCAGGTCTCCTGTTAATTTCATTTGCCCCAGGAAGCTGGATCTGAACCTCTTGGCTTACTGTCCTCTGGAGGGGTGGACTTCTGTTTACTGGGCACAGAGGTCACCCAGAAGCTGTCCTGACACTAAACATCCTGGGAATCCCCACATCTCTTTCCCATGTTCTATCTCCTGGTACCCATGTAACTTCCTCTATTTTGGTGAACTCCTCAGAGCTTTCTGGAAAAGGATGCATGGGATGTCAATCTTTCTGGGACTAAGAATGACTGAAGATATCCATTTCTCCCTCAAACTTCATAGATTGATCAAGTGTGGAATTCTGGGGTGGAAATTTCAAAGTTGTTGTTCCCAGATCTTCTAAATTATGAACTTCTGGCTCCTTACTCTTTACCTGTAGTCTGAGTAGAGGCCACAGCCCTCCTGTGCTTTTCTGTGGAGTTATGAAATATTCTCTGTTCTCCACACTCTCTATTTTCCTGGTGCTATACTGTGGCTTGCCTTTGTTTTCGTCCAGGGTGCTGGGCTTTTGAATCTGGTCTTTTATGACTTTTAGTTTGGGAAATTTTCTTGAATTATTTCATTGGTGATTTTTCTCCTATTTTCTGTCATGTGTTTTCAAGGAATTCATTGTTTAGATGTTAGATATTTTGTACCTTCCATAATTTATGTCCTGTTATTTCTGAAATCTGTTAGGAAGATTTTTCTCAGTATTAGTATCCAAGTCTAACGTTAGGTTTTTCAATGTCTTTAACATTATTATTACTGTTGTTATTATTGAGACAGGGTCTTGCTATGTAGTTTATGCCAGCCTAGAATTCACTTGCTGTGTAGTTCATGCTAGCCCAGGCTGGCTCAAAGCCCACTCTTCTCCTGCTTTAACGGTGTAAGTGCTAGAATTACAGGTGTGTCACCATATCTGGTTCTAATAATGCTTTTAGCTTTCTAAATATAAAATTTCTCTCGCTTTTTGTTCTCCAAGTAAATGTGTGTGTGTGTGTGTGTGTGTCTATGTATTTCTTTTTATTTTTTCCTTCCAGGGTCTTATCTCTCTGGGGAACTGATTGTCATCCCCACCCCATCTCCTGGGTCTGCAGAAGTGTAGTGAAAACAGGTAGTGTGTGAAGGTGTCTGGTTGCCCTGGGTTATCTAACAAGCTGAAGATGTGGGTGGGCTTCTTGGCTTAGTTTCATCTTAAGCTGATTCAACTAGGCCTCCCAAGTAAGACCAGGCTGGGCCAGGTGCAAAACCTGTGGCTGAGGTGATGGGGCTTTTCTAACTCTTTTTGGTGTGTGGGTGTGACATTTAAGTTCTTTTCCCCCTGGAGATGGGGAGTATATATGATGCATGTGTCCGAGGTGGTATTTTTCTGATAACTATTTGGCCTTGGACTGTTGTGTTGTCCACGGGGTCAGAGGTTAGGGTGATCTCTGATATTGCCGGTCTGGTGAGAGTGACTGGAGAGGGCCTTTCTGGTCTTGTAGAGGCTGAAGGAGTGTCTGGTTGCCACGGTGGAGACAAGGCTGGATGTGGTAAGCTCAGAACCCTTTCATGCTGTTCGTCCACATTTGACCTGAAGGTAGAGGAGGGCAGTCACTTAACTTCTGCAAGTGGGTGAAGGAATGTTGAAAAGTCCAGCTGACTTTTTTCTTTTTTGTAGTGTTGGGGATTGAACCCAGGGTCTTGAGCACATTAGATGCTGCCTCACCCTCACAGAGCCCAGCTTTCTGCATAGAGTCTGCTTAATCCCCTTGCTTTTTAGCTCCCTCATCTAAAAAGTGTATAGTCTTTGTTGTCTTCTCTTCACCCCACAAAATGTGTCTGGCGTTCTTTTCTCTCTCCTCTTTTCTGATTTATACATCATAGGAAAAATACTGATTTTTCTCATTTGATTTTATTAGGATTTCAGCAGGGGTGGGGGAGTGAGGGTTAGGGAGATGTTTTTGTTCCTGTTAGCGCAGGCATGTAGATTTCTTCAGCAGCCCCTAACCAGATTCCAGAGCCTAGGTCTCGATGGTGTGCTGTCAACTCTCCCTGCCTGAACCACAAGTACAAGTACAGCCTGGCACAGAGAGTCTCACTGGATGGACCTTAGATGCCTTCAATTTCCTCCAGTCCACTGCTAGCTGAGCAAAGTTGCAGGAAGCCAAGTCCATGTGTAAACCAGGCTTAGACCTGTGGGCAGCAGGAAGCTCCCTGTGTTTGGGTCTTGGTCCTCTATCTCACCTCTGGATTATCTCTGAAGACTCTTATCTGTCCCTTGGGCCACTATATGTCTTGCCTGAGTGCCTCATACTTCAATTTGAAGGGTGGTCCCTGTGTTGTTGGTGACTGTGTGGCCTCAGGAGTAGATATGATTTCTCTGGAGACCAGCTGCCTTCCCAGAATCCTCTCTTCCTGTTCCCAAGTGCATGCCCTTCTTGGAATGTGTACCAAGTTCCTGTTCTAGCTGGCTGAACAGGGATCCTGACTTACCCTGCCCATAGCAACTTTCCAGGCCCCAGTTTAGCAGCTGAGTCATCGCTCAGGCTC